CTTCCCCTCAAGGCCCTTCACCATCTTTGTTGCCCTCCTTTGGACACTCTCTGATAGCTTAGTGTCTTTCCTATATTGTGGTGCCCAAAACTGCACACAATATTCAAGGTGAGGCTGCGCTAGTGGCAGAGCAGGACAATCCCCTCCCTCCACCAGCTGGTGATGCTTTGCCTGATGCCCCCAGGACAAGGTTGGCCCTCCTGGCTGCCAGGGCACTGCTGACTCATATTCAACTTGCCGTCGACCAGGACCCCCAGGTCCCTTTTCGTGGCACTGCTTTCCAGCATCTCATTCCCCAGTCTGTACAAACATCTGGGGTTGCCCCACCCCAAGTGCAGAATCTGCATTTGCCCTTGTTGATTGCCCAGAAGACAAAGAATGTATTGATCCTCAGAGCTGTTTCTATGTTATGCTTGCAGAAGTCTATTTTATTGTTCATCATCTAAATAAAACTTACATCAGTGTAAATTATTTAAATATACTCTAAAGGCTCTGATATAATGTGAAAAAGGCTGTCTAAAGTGGGAAATACAGGTTATTTTATATGTCACTTTGAAAACAACAATAAATTAATTCCATCAGTGTTCATAAGATCTGAAAATTAATTAATAAGCCAAAAATTTCCATGTATTGCAACTAAAAGCATTGGTTTAATCACAGAGCCATAGAACAGCACTGGTTGGAAGACATCTCACCTGGTCCAACTTTCTAGTGCTTCATTTAGCACCATGTCTAGTCACATCTGGAAGACCTCCAGTTGTGCACACCCCACCACATCCCTGGGGATGTTGTTCCAGTGACTGATTGTTCTCACTGTAAAAAATGTCTTTCTTATATTGAGATGAAATGCGCACACTTTTTTCCATTTAGCATTGTGTGTATAAAGCCCATTAAAATTATGAAAGGTTTTGGACAATGGATGTTTCCTCAGTTTTCAAATTTTCAAAATTTGCTTTAAATACCATATTGGTCATACACAGTTGGTCTTATATAATGCAAATAATAATGTTATGCAAATGCATAATGTTGGTAGCATTGAATTTGTAGGAGGTTATAGCTTCAAATATAAGTAAAAGCTTCAGCTTCATGGAATTAATTAGCAAAAGCTGATGTACTACTTAATGCCAAAAGTGTATCCTTTTGACTGTAGTGTGGTAACTTGAGACAAACAAACCTGCTAGGGCTTGGAAACATTCTTCTCAGGGAGTTTTTATTTGTTTATGAGCTAAGAGTCTCTTTTGCAATGGGCTCTGCAAAAGTTTACAGCCCAGAGAGGACTGGGAGAGAGCACAAAACAAGCAGTGCACAAATATGTACATGGAAGGCAGAATGCCTTAGCAGCGGCAGATGCAGCCACTGCTAGGAGGTGAAGGAGTTATCTACAGTTGTCACCTTCATTTGTACTCCACATGGAGCAGCTGGAGCTACTGGTCTCACTGCATAAAAGCACCAGTTGAAAGAACTCACAGGAAGTTGCTATCAGGTCTAGCATAACCCTGGCAGATAAATCTTTTTTCCCCCTCAGTGCTCCTTTTTGCTTTTTGGGATTCATTTGACTGGAGGGTCACCTTACAGTCCAGACTTCAGATATGAAACACCTAGGCCACAATCTTACAAAGCACTCACATATTTTTATTTACCCACATAAATGCTTCCAGAGCCTCCTAGGAATAGAGATGGCGAGGAAAAGTTTTGAAGTATTGTTTGTTATGTGTAAAAGGAGGAGCTGAAAAAGTGTCAGAAACAGATGTATAAATAGCACTTTAGCCTTGAATTGAGAAACATATGTGCAAATCTTCAAGTTATGACACTGGCTAAAGTAGCATAAAATTAGAGCATGAGAGGCTATGCAGTGACACTGCAGTTCTAAGCGCCGATTTCATGCCCTCTCACAGAACTGCCTCTCACCTTCTCTGAAAGGTCCTGCTGGACTCATAACTCAGCCAGAAATGTCTTGCTTTTGCTTGCTCTGGTATTTGCCCCTGTGGCTGATCCTTTCTTCAGAGTGTATAGAGAGGCACCCCTGGCACCTCCACTTCCTTGCCACCCTGCTGAGAAGAGCCAAACTAAGCAAACTGAAAGAGAACTGAAGCATCTCTCTGGATACAGTTATTGCCATTAACTCTGGTTTTCAGCAGAGAAGCAAATAATGTTTGGCAAACATTTCATCTGGGTCCTGTTATAAAAGAAACAAACAGGCTTTGAAGTGCCCTTGTGCTGTCCCCATTCCTTCTTAAGTGAACCCAGATTTCCACACAGATGGTGACAGAAAATCATTAGCACTTTTATGGAAAACTGCTCTGAAACCTGTATCAAATTCGTCCCTATTAGGTTCTCATTTCTAACTTGCAAGTAAGACATTGCTTGGTTTCTTCCATATTTTATTCCAGTTCAACTGAATTTGAAACTTATAAGTAAATAGTTTCTTCATTCCTTTGAGGTAGTCCAAGGTCTTCAGAAAACCTTGAAAATACTTTTGTTCATCCAGCAAAAAGAACCTAAGCCCTGTACACTTTGGATTCTTGGCTTCTGTTTAAGAATTTAGGATTCTATGAAATCTCATTGATTCTGTACATATTTAATACAACTCCTCAAAATCTTCACTGTTTTTTAGCAAGTACTGGACACTCATATATGAATTAAAGAATCTCTGGGCTTAAAGTCTGCTTTGTTCTGGATTCTTCGTACAAACTGAGTGAGGCAACTTTTTTGGTATTATTTTTTATTGAAGAAAATTTTCACCTGTGTATAAAAATAAATTCACTCTATGTTCTTTTCCACAAAGGGTATGTTTTTAAACTCTTAACTAAATTCTTCAGTGTGGTGCATATATATATATATACATGTGTATATATTTTCTTAAAACATTTATAATTCCTTTCATTTTAGTAGCCATTAGATTTGCTTTAGTAAATGCTAAGCAAGCTAACAGGCTGCATGTTGAAGAGATACTTGCTAATGACTGGGAAAAAATAAGGAATTCAATAAACCATCTGAATTGTTTGCAGTTTCTGTGGAGATCATCTGAGCCATCTCAGTTCAAAAAGCTTTTCAAAAACATTCATTATATTACTGGGTCCAAGTCTAAAAAATCCACAGAAAAAATTTCAGAAACAGATTGATTATCAACATGTTTAACAGGTTTTTTGTTTCAAGACTTGGATGATTATGTGCATGAGTCTTCCTCAAGTTATTTGGCAAAAACACTTTCAAAGCAAAGATTATGATCACTTGTAATCATCTACCAAAAGGACTCAGAAACTATATATGTAGTACAACTGCACTTGAAATAAAAGTGCTCTTCACTCATTAAGAGAAAACAAACAACAGAGATATACTTAAAAAACAAAGTGATGGAGTTTCCAAAGAAACTCCCTCTGTTGCTTTGCAAGTATGGACATCTAGTAACTTGTTTTGCTGTGCAGAAGGTTGAGATTTGAAGTTTAGGTACAAATGAGGCAGTATTTCTGTCCTTTAGATTTTTGCATATTTCCAGTTGTAGGTGAGAGAAGTCTTTCAAATCGAAACTGAGGATGACTGTAGCCAAGAGGGTCCCATAGAAAGATCTACATTCTTCTTCAGTAGTTAATTTTGTCTGGAACTCACAGCATAAACTCACATGCACATAGCACAGATTTGGTAAAAAACCTGCACCCTTGAAACCCCCTTGAAATCTATTTGGAAATGTTATCTGTGTGAGTCACAAATGTACGTAACTGCAGTTAGTTTTAAGTGTTGAGCTGAGAGAGAAGGGAAAGTATGCGCTGCGTTGCCGAATTCTACAGAATGACTTGCATTCTACACAAGGACACAGGACAAAGTGTTTATTAAAATAAAAAGCTTTAATACTTTTGCATTTAAAAGATTTAGCAGAAATAATTGCTACAAACATGCTACAACATACATGTTCAAAAAGTTTTCAGTGCTTTCTTTCAAAGTTCAGCATTTTGGCAAAAATAAGTTTTTCTGTATATACTTCAAAAGTTGGTTATCATAATACTGATATAAAATACTTCATGTAGACTAAGGTCAGGTGCATAAAATACAATACGTAATAAAACATACTGTTTGTATAAACATTTAAAGTATAAATTTAATTAGATAACATGCAAATACTGCAATATTTTAAATGGCACTTAAATATAGATACTGAGATTCTTTATAATTTTGCATCCAATATGAGATTCTGAAATGTACAAAACTATAAAAAGAACATATCTCTTCACTGAAGTCAGGTACTAGCATAGAGCTTGATTGTCATTTTACAAGCAGTGAGCCCAATGTCTTGCAAGTCTTCACTAGTCCAAGTAAAGACATCTACTGAAATAGGCCCAGGGCTAGTTAGTTTCCTTCATAATAAAATATGAAAGCATATTTACATGAGAATAAACTCTTAAATTTTTGGTAAGGTAATTAAGTAGCAGCAATCTGTTTCTTCCAAAAATGATGTTAAAAATAGGTGCATGCTTTTCATTGTCACTGGTATGCATCTGAATAATACAAAATTAACATTCTTTAGTAAACTCAAAACACTGTTTTGTTCATTGTTGAAAAAGCCCTATGAGATTCCTTCTTACAAAACCCATAAATCCATAATGTCAGAACGTTCCAGACTATATTTGTTTCCAAGATCAATGGAAAATAATCTAATTGTGCTGAAACAGTCATCAGACTAGTAATGAATAAGAGAATCATCTTTTCACATTATTCAAATACTTCTAGTTCTTCATTGAAAAACACAAGTTCATCAGATCTTCTACGATTTTTGTTTTCTGGTTCAGTGATCAACAATTCTGAATGTCCTTCATAATATAAACGCCACAATACTCATGCATATTTTCCAAGCAGTTATATATAATATATTAATGCTGACAAGGTAAATAAAAGGCTTAGGAACAGGGAGTGCAGAACAGGCACCACTTGAACAGATGGAGAAGAAATGCTAAACGAAACTTGTACTTGAGATGCAATTAGAGCTGACAGCGGCACGTGTGATGCTAATGTTGGACTGTCTGAATTTATCAGTGACTCTATCTTTTCTGCTTCTTTATTGCAGGCTTCAATCTGTGGGGGAAAAAAAAGTTGCTATTTCTCTTCTTACCATGTAAAATGCCAGTGTGAAAATGTTGCTAGATAGCAAAGTTCAGGAAAGAAAATCTGAGTCATTCCCATCAGCACATAAGATTTACATTATTTTGGGGAGTATTTATTAGAAAACATAGTGGAGCTCTTATCATAGTCCTTGGTGTGATGAAAACTTCTGTGGAAGCCCTGAGTAGCAGCAAAGGAAAGGAACGAAGCCATATACAAGTTATCGTGGGTGATGTGTTTTGAATGTTGATGGCAAAAAACTCACAGTAAATTATAACTAAGGTAAGTACCCTCTAAAACTGAGGACTTCCTTCCTGAGAGACCAAGATACTGCCTTGAAGTCTGCAACAGTGGAAAAATCTGGATTTTCTCCTTATTAGGCTTTTTCTTCCAAATCAGGGAAAACTGATTTCTTTTATGGGAAGGGAAGTGAAGAATGGAAGTAATATGAAAAACTGAGAAACCCCAGGTTTCCATTCCCCCACTGACATGATGATAATGAATTTTCTAACATAAATTCATTTTTTTCCACTACTTTCTACTGCACCCCAGGAATGAATTTAGTACTAAGGCTCTTTAACAGCTTTGGAAGCCACCTCTGGTGAAGTTTAAACTTGACAAACTTAGTATCTGGAAGTCCAAAGCTTTGAAAGTTGAGGAATGTCTAGCTCAGCAATGGGTACCACCACTGAAATGAGCAGCTCCTCCCTGCTTTTGGATGGCATCTCTGATTTCAGAGTCCTCACCCCAGGAATCTGACAGCACTTGCTACAGTTGGAGTGAGAGCTGCCCATGCTGGTAAGTCCTGGTAACATTTTAGGCTATTGCTGCTAAAGGAGGAGACAGAAATTGTAGTAGAGTTGGATATAACAGGGTTGCTCTGGTAACATGGGCAATCAAAATACACACAATGTATCTTCCTGAGAAACAAGCACCATTGTATATGTGCAAAAATGAAGTAAATCCATTCTGAGTAAACAAAATAATAATGTAGTCTACCTGCAATGGTTTGGGGTTCTGATCCACAGGAATGATGAGAATCACAATTTCTGATTCTATGCTTAAATATCCAAACACATCACACTGTGGCACTGACACATGCAGGCGAATTTTTTCAAGAATGTCAAGTACTGTTATCGGCTTTTTATTTGTTACCTGGAAGAAAATAAAGAACTTTGTGGATGATGTGATATTATGGAAAATTCTCCTCCTCAGTTTCAACAACTTGATGTCATGCCAGAAAATTTGTTTCAGCCATTATACTCAGTTCTAAACTCTACTCTAAATGCTACCAAAAAGCAAAACAATTCAATGATTCTAAAATATAATTCTAGAAAATTATTCTGATTCTAAAAAAAAAACCTCCAAAACCAAACCACCCGAAAACATTAAAAGTTATAAGGAAGAAAGGGGAAAAATATTTACTTCTTAGATTAACCACTGTTTTGGTATGTGTTGTTCTCCACCTTCATGGTTAGTGTGTCTATGTGTCATGTACCTCAAAATAATATAAATGGTTATCTGTTACAGCAACTTGTGTTCCCGTGCTGAGAAACAAGAGGCAGAGCAGCACTGCCAGCTGGCACTGCTTTACAGCCTCAGAACCTGTTCCAAGAGTCACCAGAGATGGAGAGCTTTGTGAGGACAGATATATGTCTGTACCTATGGGAATCTGTGACATTTTAAGTTCAGTACTTAAATACCAGGTAAATGTATTTTTCTCTTAAAATTTTTTTCTCTGTTCTGTTGTCTGTATCTGACAAACAATAATTTGGTTGTAGATGCTCAGTCTAAGGACTGCTACACCTTAAAGCCTTTTCAGCTTTTTTCCAGATCACTTATGAATGTGTTTTACGGATGTGTATATAGACACCAACACAAACACTTCCCTTGTCACTGGTCATTTTGTTGTGTTTTGCTTTCTAGCTTTAGCTGCAAGAACTCAATCCTTCTTATCCTACTGTAGCTTTCTTTCTTTTGAGATCACTGGTACAGGACCTTAACAAGTGGAAATCTGGGAAATCCAAGTAGATTATATGAATCAAATTTTTAAGGTGTCATACAACACTTCTTTTACCAGATCTTTGAGGGGTTTCCTTGTCCATTAAAATCCTGTCTGACATGCTGATTAATCAGCACACCTTGTTCAAACAGTCTTAAAACAGAAGCTCAGGGATACTTCAAGAATCACTGATGGTGTCAAACTTGTATTTTACTGTCTTAGTTTAGAAGTCTAGTAGATTAGAATTTTAGTAGATCTCTAATGTTTCTTTGCTCTGTGATCATGACTTTTGTTTCTTGATATCTTTACAAAAAACAGCCAGAGGGGTGGGGAAGGAAAAAAATAGTCAAATTTACATAACTCTTTAGTATTTGAAGCATTTTTTTCTCCCATGAACCAGATGTCTGAACTAAAAGAGGCATGCATGACTACTTTTTCCAAAGGAAAGAGCTTCAGCCAAACTTACGTAATTTTTAGTCAGTGCTAAGATTCTCTTGACTCTTGAATGATTACTTGCATGTTTGAGAGATCACATACTTTAAATGTAAAGATACAGGTATACATTTTAAATATATGAGCTGTGAAAACTTGAAGAGTGTGTATGGTGGCAAGAGGTGACCAAGAGAAAAGAGTCAGCAAGATGACAAAGGGAAGTAAAAAAGAGGGGGAAAAAAGAAGAATAAAACCAATGTTCAAACTAAATTTTTCTGTGATTTTACAATAATAGCTAATTATCTCTGTTGCAAACATATAAGTGGGTTAATGCAATTCTATACTGTTCTGGAAAAATTCTCATTCTTCTTGGCATTTAAAAAAATGAAAATCATGTGCAGATACAAACAGGAATTGTTTTGCTTCACCGGGCATAATCATCATATTATTCTGTTATGATGTTATGACACAAGTCAATTGTTCTGCTATGTTCTGTACACTGAAGCATAAAAGCAGGGGTCATTAAAGTGCAATCCTTTTATACACCACATGGGGAGTGTCTGAGCCCACTATGGTGTGTTCAGTGACAGACAATCAACATCAGATCAGTCTTGTGCTGAAGCTTTTCTAAGAGCAGCAATAAAGAATGTTGGAGTCTAACTTATGGAGATGTTTAATTAAAATCCAGCAGTTTAGCTGATGAGCAACAAAATGAGTGACAACTATCTAGGTAACCAAAGAATGTAAACAATCGCATTTAAACATAAGAAAATGTCAGAATTAAGTTACCTACATTAGGAAATAGTGAGCTAGCAGAATAAACTTAACAAAAAGGCCATAGATAACAAATATACATCGTATTACTACCGTGAGATAGATGCTGTTCCCATATCATTTGTCCACATTATTACAAGACATATAAACTGCAAACTTGAGTCTGCATGTTTATGCCTATTCTAATTCTGTTTTGGTTTGCATTGTAATTCAATTTATACGCCTCAGATAAAAAAATGAAGGGAAGTATAAAGCAGTATAAAGGAAAAAACCACCCAATCACACACTATGATGTGTTAACCTTCCAGGAGAAAGTATACAGTAACTTGAATTTTGTACCATTTAACATTAGGCATGATTAAACTGTTTACCCTTGCAAAATTATCCAGCTTGTCTTTGTCATATAAGATTCTCAGCATTCCAGCACATAGTGGACAGCAGGCTCCTATGTGAATACAGAAGAATCTCAGAAATAAAAGCAAGTAGTGTTTTCACTTTTAAGTAAGCAGGAGTCAAAATTTGAATATTAACTGAGAATGAAAATAGCAGAACTACCAAAGCAACCTGTTTCAATTTGATAGCAGAATTGCACATTTCTAATATTTTTTCATACTAAAAGCATTTATAATGCAAAAGCAGTCACCTTTCAACACACATTTACTACTATCAACATGAAGAAACAAGTTGAATTTTCATTCATTTCAAGATCATTCATTATTTTAAGCTAAAAACTGAAGGCACTTTGTGTATCACAAGCTAAGATTTTGTATGGATGCATGCATATACAACTACAGAAATTATGGATTTCAAGAGCTGATATAGCTAGGACATGACTGTGTATTAAATTCACTCCTCAACTTATTATATATAATTCACATTCACAGAGTGACTTTTACAACACTAAAAGTAATAACAAAGCAAAAAGACCCTTTTTCGAAGGGAATGAGAAAGATGAATAAAGCTCTTTCTTTTTAAAAATGAAGCTTTCCTTGCTCTGTGTATTACCTATGAGTAGTTGTTTTATAAAGGAGGTATTTGTAAAAACAATAAAAATCCAGTTCAAAACCGCATAACTGCAAAACTATTCCTACTGTCATCCTCTTTCACAGTATTGTAAATACATGTGGTATTTTTCTCTGTCTTCTCATTAAATATCATCTTTGCTCTTCTGGGAACCCTGTGTTGATGACAGCTTGGTATCCCTCTGTGGTATCTGCGCTGCCACTTCCGAAAAATTGCTCATCAGATTCCTAGAGACATCCTGCTTGAGATACCACAGACCTCATTCATTTCTCCCAAACCCATCTCCTGGGCAGAGCTGCAAGTTTCTCAAGACTGAAGGAGCTTGACTCCTAAAGCCAAAGCTTTCCACTCCAGGGTTACCATCTGGGTCCTGATACTGGCTTGTTCTAGCCTTAAGTAGAGAGAGATCTCTACTTCATCCTTTCTCCTCGAAGTCTCAAAGACATTATGGAATATAACATTTCAAAGCATAAGTTTTGTTCTAAATATCCCCCTATTTATACACAGATTCTCTCCTCTCTGCATTAAACTTCCACAGCAAATTAACATACCTGGTGCAATGACTGGTTTGCAGCCAGTGGCAGAAAGCTGGGGACACTTCACAAAGGCACACTCCATATGGAAGCCGTAGTCCGAGAGCACCCCCACAGCCTGGCAGTGTCCGTGATAGTCCACGGCCACGCGGTCGGAATAGGCAGCACAGACGCTGCTGTAGGTTTCTCCATTGTGTCCACACACAGGCTCCACTGACTTGCAAAATGGCTGAAACACACAGGAATGTTTCCAAGGTCAATTCAGTCATGCTACAGAAGCTTCGGAGTAGTTTTAACATGAGGAAAACCAAAGCTAAAGGGAATTCACTGCTAGTATTGTCAAACATTGAAAAAAGTAGGAAGTTGGGAGTAAATAACCTGCCAGTTTATGAATGGGTCATAGATGAAAAGGGTACAGAGAAATGTAAGGTGGAATCTGGGAAATGTACAATAAATCATGTTTTGGAAAAGAACAACTTTTGTTCTGTGCTAACATTTAAATAAAATTACCATATATAAATTAACTTGTTTAGTAAATTAATTAAAATTACTACAATTTCATCATATTTTAAAATATTTTTTAATAAAGTTGATTTGTCAATAAATATTTTCTATTGTAGTATTAATATCTTAACAACTCATTGGTAATTTATTTATTAATTCATCTTAGTGTGGAGTTGTGTTCCTAAAATTTATTGTGCACGTATTTCTAACACATTGTATATTTTCATATATTAGTTATTTACACATTTTATTTATTTGTATGTATGTATTATTTATTATTATTATATAAAGATAAATGCATACACTTACTTCAAAAGAATAAAATCTGTTACTAGACACTTTGTGAAATGGCAATAAACTTAAGCTTCTGAAGTTGAACAGAAGCAAATAGAATTGCTGAACCTCTGCAAACAAGGTATGATTAATGCTTTTGTCCAAAGTCTCGTGAAATGGCACAACTCATTCCATAATCTCTTGCTTAGGTTAGATATTTTGTTACACCATATTTCAACTAAGTCATCATAGCTGCAGGATCACTGTATAACCTCTAAAAAACTAAGGCAATCGCAGTTCCTATGTTACACATCTAAGCTAACAACAAAACAGAGAACAAGTAAATGTGAGCACCCCAAACAGTTTATCTTGCAATCATCTTCCCTATAAAAGCAAGAGTGAAAACTTAGAGGCACCAGTGTCAAAAACTTCGTGAATGTGCATACTAGACATAGATAACTGCTGGAGGAAAAACAACAGCCATGCAATATTCCTTTGATTCTTACTGTTCAAGGACTGAACATTTTCTGAGTATCTCATGAGGTATCTGGTGTGCAACAAGAATTACCTGTACTTAATGAGGCTGCTGAAAAAAGAAGGTATAAAGACAGAAGGCAGAAACTAAGAGTGGGTTAAAAGAGTAATAGCACTTGTAATACAGAAAAACCCTGAAAATATATTTTGTACTTCTAGGCATACCCATCAGTTGAGACCAAGAGAAGGTCTCAAATAAATATTCATGATTTGAGAAAAACCTGGAGATGAACAGCCTAACAATGGTAAAGCCAGTGACTTGGAACAGAGCAGCTCCTGACTTATAAAGCAATAGAAACAGCTTGTCTACCACCTTTGTAGGGAGCAGTGGGATGGAAAAACTAAACCTAATCCTAATCTTTCTCAAGAATTAATATGAAGACTAATCCAATCCAGACTAACTAAAAAAGTATTACAGACTGCCTATTCTGTAAATAAATCCTGAACAGCGCTGGGGCAAAATCACACAAAAAGACAAAGACTTTCTATGATTGGGCATTAATATATATTTAAGACTACTTCAAATTGGTATAAACTAACACTAGGAACTGCACTAATTAATGCAAATATACCTCAGTGCAAGCTTTAGTAGCAAAAAAAATAGGAAGAGAAGACTTAATATAAATATCAGAGCATTACCCCAAGAAAGCATAAGCAAAGCTTTTGATTGTTTTTGAGACAACTGTTAACTAAAGCAGAGAAACACTTGACAAAATTCTGAATCTAAGTTTGTGAGAGTATTTTTATACTAGTTACAATTAAATTTTTAAATGATTAAGCTACAAAAACCAAACAGAATACTGCAAAAAAACCAATATTGCAAAAAAAAAAAAAAAAAACCAACCAAAAAACCAACCCCGAACTGCAACATCAAAGGGCAAAGAAGATTTGATATTTATTGCTACTTCCTACCTGGCATGGTCCTCGGTATGCTAAACTTTTTCCCTTTTGGTACAGAGTACACAAGTTACTGTATTCCACATTGTCTGTGTCACAAACAGGATCTCGTGTCTGGTCACAATTTAACTGCCTTGGCACACATTCATGTTGGCTACATTCAAACTTTTCAAAACTAGTCAAGCAAACTTGTTTCTTCGGTATGCACCTGCCGAAAATAATAGTAATTTCTTATCATGTCATAGGATTATTTTTTTTTTAAGTCCCAAAATATTCAGGGAAAATACTTTCAGTGAAATATCTCCAGTACTTTAGAGCTAACTGTGGTTAAGCAGAGCTGCAGGAAATACAAGTGATAAAACATTCTGAATAGCCAATTTCAGGTCTCATCACAAACCTGGAACAATTTCACACCACGCTTAGTCAATGTGTTCCCACCAACATTTATCTTTTACTGCGTGTTTTTCAATGGATTCTCAATAAAGGCTTGGATAAACTTCTTACCTACGCCCATGCTTCATTTTGTAAATGCATATTTTAAGAAAAACTAGAGAAAACAAGAAAATAGTGCAAGAGAAAAAGATTGTTGCAAAGGTCTTGTCTCCCCCATCCCTGAGAAAGGAGTAAAAACAAGACCTACAAGAAGATTAAATAGTTTCAATTACAAATATCTAATTAGATGCTAGTTTTGTAGGTTCAGAGTATTGTATCACATCCAATTTTGGGAATGACTGCAAACAAAGGGAAAAACCCAGTATTAACACTTTTTTGCATGCCATTCCTCTGAAGCCTCCACAGACCAGTAAACAGCAGAAATTCCTTCCCCTTTGTATTAAGTATGTACCTTCCATGGTCTTATCTGCAAAAGATTTGCCACAGACCCTGCAAGACATTCCTCTGCTAGAGAAATGCCAGCCAATAAAGCCTGATGAACAGACTGATAAAAGCTCTAATGGCTTTTTTAAACAACCAATTCCTTCTATAAGGGACAGCAATGCTGCTACCACTGGATTATGTACAATATGTCTTTATTCTCCCTGAGTGCTGCTGAACCTATGCATTACACGTATGTCTTTTACATTAGGGAAGACTTAGAAATTCTGAGATTTAAACACTTCACAAGTGGATATAAGATCTTAAATAGATAATAAAATAGTAAAGTGCACCAGGAGCATTTTAAGATGACCATGTCTAGTTTATGCTGCATTGTCAAACTGATCCAGAAAAATGTACTGCGCACAGTCCTTTACTTATATGACAAGTTGAAGTTCTAAGCATAATGGTATTTTGAAAAACTGGAAAAAACAAAACCTCTCTGTATCCTCCAAATTTCAAACATAAAAAGTAAAGAGTGTTTATCCACAATGCAGCTTTGAAATTCCAATTTTGAATGCTGTAATGGGTATTACAGCTACAAAACTACAGTGTTTTCTCAGTAGTTTTCTGCATCAGGGGATTTTAAGTGCAGAAAAAGGAAAAAATAAAATTGCTACAATCAGCTTTCATGAAAGCACAGTATTACACAACTTTTTATGACGGCTTTCTTTCAAAACAGAAAAATGCACAAATTCAAAGGAGACTGCAGTATTGCACAACACTGAGAAAATTGAAGACAGAGACCAATATTATAAGCCACAGCCTTTGATCTCTGTAAGAAAGGTCAGATTTTGTTTTCGCCTGAAACTAGTACAAAGCATATTTTTGTTTTAGTATATTTGTCTATGCAGATTTTGCTTTATTGACTGAATAAGCGAGACTGACTCCAAGTCTGGAATTCAGATGCAGGTCTTCTTCGTAAACTACTAAAGAAGGTGTGAAACAAAGTAGTAATATGACACTTATTGCCATTCCAACAAAACCTGATTCTCCCACTTTTGACAGTATGTATCAAGTCTCTTTTATTGCTAAAAATGAGATCTGCAAAATTAATTTAATTGATATAGCACTGCATAAGTGGAACCAAAAACTGGCAGTTATTGCTATGATAAAAAAGGTAGCTACTTCAAAAGTTATTTTTATTGGAGTATCCCAAAAATACAATGTTCCTACAATATACAACACATTCAAAGAAAACATAAATCTACTTTATAAGTAGAAGATTCCAAAGAAAAGCTTAAAAACATATTCTGCTTTTACCTCTGATTTTTATTACAAGGGTTAGGGTTACAAGGATCCTTGGAAATACACGATCCAAATTCAAACTGATTGTCCTGGAGCCCAACACAACGAGCTATACATGCGCTTGGGTAGGTGCGTCCGTTTTGACCACATACTGGCACAAACTGATCCACACAGTTACATGGTAAACCTGGAAAAGCAACACACAGAACAGGAACTTGGTGTACACTCGTTTGCTATGACAGAAGATACACAAGGGGTCACTAAGGTATCTTTGCCTTCCAGCAAAGAGTCTTCAGCCCCTTTGTCCCTCCTGTCCTTTAGCAATGCTGTAGATCACAGGCACTTACAAGTAGCTGGAAGCAAAGTTTGGGCCCTGTCTCCTTGCTGATTCCACTCAGCTTTCTCCATTTTTTTCCCCCAAACTCCTTATCTCTTGACCCAGTGGCAATACCCTGTCTCTATTTTTACATATTATTTGACATTTTATTTTTCAGTGTTGCTTTTTTTTTTAAAAGGTATGTGATTTTTCTGCAGTGTGGGTTGGACATGGGAAAAAAGTTAAAAAAACATACTAATAACAAATTATCAGGTATTTTACTGTAACATAATACTGTATATTTACTTTAATACTGTAAAAGGAATTAAGCTGATAATCGTTGCTCTAAAAA